AGTTTGCATTAACTGTAGGCAGAGGAAAATAAATTGATGAAAATACAAACTATTAACGTATGCGTATTGCTTGCGAACGATGAACCCGGCCTACTCTCTAGGCGAAAAAATGAAATTTAAAGAATGCACTGCATTTTTATACCATACACCGCTTTCACCATAAGAACATACATTAAGTTTGTGTCGGTGTGTGTAACATCCGGAAGATCTTTAAGTATATCGATCGATTCAGAATGGAGTTCCGAAATGATAAAAGCTTGTCTGTCCATCTGTCCGCTTTGTTCTCTTATGTTCAATCTACAGCCAGTACTTTTTGACGTATTTTGATAATATATTTGGTAAACTCACGTGTTTTAAAAAACATTCGGATTGGATCACATTTAGACCACTTCCCATATAACACTTATATGAATATGTGAGTAGCTAGCATAGGGTATGCAATGATAGGCTAATGGGACCGTTATAGTGTTTTAATTGCTCTTCTGTACCAAAAATTCTAGATCGATCCTTTATACATTGGGTTTTAATTGACTCAATATCCAAAATTAAATCGAACACAAAAATTAATTTATAAAGTCTTAACCAGGTATGTAACTAAGTAGTTTTTAGGTTAAAAAAGTCTACATTTGATTTAATAGCGAAAACTTCTTTAAAGAATTTCGTGTGTGCGCGTGTACGTATGACTTGATTTTGTTAACATTGGCGGTTAATGTCGTCAAGGCGTTTTGATATTAGCTGAACTCACCCACATAAGTAGAGTATAAAAAAAAAAAAAAAAAAATAGAAAAAAAAATTAAATCTCTCCATTAAATATAAAACTAAAATCTACTGCATTTGTGTAGAGAAAGGCTGATGCAATGCAACACAAACATGCACCTAGTTGAATATGAGGGAAATAACTAGTGGAAGCGCAGACACAGACACCGATATCGACACAGGCATAGGCATGGCCACACTTACTCGCTAAGCAAAGTAATCCTGGGATTTTTTAAAAGCACAAACAACCAGGCAAACAAACACTAAAACATTACATAAAAACATAATATTCACACACAGTATAAAATTACCGAATATAAAATGGAGACAAAAGTATATACAAATTATGTATATACGATTAAATTTTAGTTTACATATAATGCAAGTACAAAAAAACATATAAACATCTGTGTACTCAAAGTATATCATACTTACATATATATATATATATATATATATACATATATATATATGTATATATACATATTTTTATATATTATACACCTTATGCTAGTATTGGTTACACCTTCTTATATACATTTTCAACATAGTCGCTTTTATATACATTAAGTCGTTGTGTATGGTACGCGTTCGCATACATAAATGCATGGACGAGTGTTTCTAGTGTTGGGAAAAAAAAAAAAAAAAAAACAAGCAGATACCTGCTCTTATATAACATGTGAGCCTAAAAGCAGACTTAATATTGCATTTGGCAAGTAGTAACAGCAGTCAGTTTGCTTCTTCTTTTTTTTCTCTTTTTTTTTCTTTGCTTCCCTTTGTTTAGTTGTTTTTCTTTACTTTTTCTCTTCCTATATGTAAGTATACGTAATTTACTCAACAAAAAGATTGTGAGAAGCAATTTAAAAGTCTGCTTAGTTCTTTGTTTCTTTTTTTTTTTTCTTTTTTTTTTTATAGCTTCAAGGACTTTTGCTTCCTTATTTTCCTGCAGCCAGACATAGTTAAAGGAAGCAAAAGAAAAAATAATAATAAATAAATAAATAAATATATATATATATACAAGTAAACAAGTAAGTATGAAAAATACAACTTGGAAGAGGCCTGGTGGATATCTCAAATCACTAATAAACCCATAACAAATTCATGCTTATTCTACGAATATATTCAATATGTGGCAGATTTTGAAGGCAGTGTGTAAAATCTTCTCATACATTAGGTAGTTGGATGTATTTTGATAGGCGACCTCTACAGATAAATACGATACAGAAATGAGAAATAGCAGCGTACATAACTATTAAATTCGCCGGTTTTGACGACATTTCCCTACATAATTTTATTGAGTTATTCAGCGTATGCTGACGCCAATCGCACGGAGTGCTTAAAATTGAATTTTTGACCGTCATTAATTTTGTTGTTTTCTGGAAGAAATCTGCTCCCGAAACATGTCTAGAGGCTTACGGCGATCTCTACAACTCTCTTCTCTATCATATTCCAATTGTTGGCTTTGTTTTTAACGGTTTAAAAGTGACGGCATGAATTGGCTGAAAATGCCATTGTTATAAGAGTAGTCAAGAATAAACTGTCACAGCTCGAATGGGAGTTTCTGTCACGGTCAACGTACGCACCAGATATGGTGTCTTCTAATTATCACTTATTCAAATCGATGCTGCATGGCTTGGCTGGTACGCCGCTTCTCAAAGTTGAAGAAGTGCGAAAATGGCTCGATAAGTGGATCGCTGCCTAACCAATTTAACTTCTTTTGACGCGATATCGCCGTTTTGCCAAAAATGTGGTAAGATTGTACCAATTTACCAACTTGACTCAATAAATGTCTTTTTTCAAAGGAAAAAAATATCAAAATACATGCAACCATCAAATAAAAAAAATATATTTTTTTTTTTTTTTTAATTTTAATCAAATTATTCATTCGGACAAGTTTAGACGGGCTAATTCACACTGATTTGAAACTTCTTGCCGTTTGATTGGTTGGATTATGTATTGTAAATTTTATTTTTTAGGGAACACGAGCGATATAAAATTCATTCTGATTGATTAGTGATTGATTTCCAAAAATTTTCGCTCTTTAACCTGCTTCCGATCTGCTTTACGGTTGTGTTACTGCCCTTTTAACAGTCAACCCTATACATTGGAGTCTAAAATACGTAATAGGCCCCCATCTACATAACACTTGTCAATATTGAACGGATTTGTGTAGTGCGGCGGAAAAATTGTGATTGTGTTCGTCTAACACGCTAACACAGTTGGAGGAATGAGATTCCTTTTTATCTCTCTCTCTTTCTCTCTCTCTCTCTCTCTTACCAAAAACAACAAAGCATGATTATTAAAGGAAGTTTTTTTGAATATAATATAATTAGTAAGTTAAACGTTTCGGCCTGTGCACGGCTCATGTATTTATATAATCTAAATGACACGTAACGAGCCCGTCGTCTATTCGTATTAACGCGGGAATTGTTAAACTGGGGTGCAGATAGATCTCGAACGGTTGTCTGACTATACACTTCGGATGGATATGCTCCTTCAAATGTAATTGCTTTCGTACCTTACTGGGATTAGCACACTTACTGAGGGACGCCGATTCAGGTCTAAGTAACGCGTCATGTTAACGGACGGATATTTTCCATTTAAGCTGACAAGCTAGCTGATCACCTTAAGCCATTCACACATCGCTTGTATTAACAAACCTTCCGCGCGGACTTGGAAATTGAATCTCATGCTAATTAATTTCAAGCTGTTTTCGCTTCGAACTTCTCAATGTTCAATAAATATTGATGAAGCAATTTTTAGAAAATCAATCGATAATCAATCGAAGGGTTTGCTTTAGTATCAGTAGCAGGGTGAGCATTAGTAATTAAGGCTATTTTGGCTCTTTTTTCGTTAGGGGGAAATTAGGCAGTCAGCCCAGTCACTTTAAATAAAGTTAAAAAATTTATTGATATTAAGTTCTTCCTGTTATTTTTAAGATGCTGGCAGGAGTTAGTTATATCCGAATATGAAATGTTCATAATTGAAAAATAATTGCAAGATTATTCCTTACGTTCAGAAGTGTTCGATTGTCATTGTCTAATAACTATAAGTATACATATATATATAAAAAATTCCATATAACTAGACACAAAAGACCCTATGGTAAGCCCACAGCTACGTAAATAACCTCAAAAGATCGATGTCACGGAATACGCCTTCTATCCGAAAGACATGGCAAAGTTGTGATTAATACAATTTCGGTAAATAAATGTTCTTGTTTTTTAATTTGTAATAGGAACTAAACGGTAAAGGATACATATATATAAATGTTTTTTTTTTCTGCTTTACGTTAAGTTTTTGCGAATATGTTCAACATCCAGAAAAATTTGGTGTAAACTTATCATTTTTATTATATTGATCGATTCAGAATCGCTTTCAGAATCATTTTCTAAATCTATCTAAGCTTGTCTGTCCATCCGTCCGTTCTTCTATCTGTCTTATATTCTTGCGTTCAACCTGCAGGTCGCAATTTTTAAGATATTTTGCCCAATAAGAATTACATCGCAAGATCTTTATGGCATTTTGCATTACGCGATCACTGAGCTTTTCACCCAATCAATTGGTTTTGCCTCGCAATGTATGGCATGAGCCAGTATTTGTTGAAATCACATATCGTCAAAGTCGAAATCATTTAATTTTTGCAACTAAAAATCAACTATCATTTTTGTGCATTGCATTTGAGGCCAACTGTAATGGCAAATTCAGGCCACAAACCACACCCAAGAGCTATCTTTGCATATGTAAAACACCTTTAGCAAAATTAGATGTGTTTTCTTTATTCAGAAGGGGCAATAATCTTTGTTTACGAAGTCGTTTAATCAAATACGAGGTTCGTCGCGGATTTGGTGTCATTATGTTCGTAATAAGTTTCAACAATTCCACAATCCACAATAATGGAGTGGAATATTGAAAGAAAAAATCTGACCAATTAAAAGTATATTCTATCAACGTTTACTTTCGAAGGCACTAATACTCGAGCAGCTTGACAGACCTAAATGAAATAAATTCGAAAATTTCGTTTAACCAGCGGATCATCAACATTAATATTCAGAGAATTAAGTGAGGTAAGAGAAAGTCCGAACAAATCAAATCAGATTAGGTGGATTCTAAATTACCAGCTAATAATTTTATTGTTTTTACAATTTGCAAGAGGTTATATAATCGATTTTATAATAAGCGATAAGCTTAATAGAAGTGGTAAAAAAAAAAAAAAGAAAAAAAAAGAAGAGTAATTGACTTACGGATACAGGATGTTCCGGCTCACTTCTTAAAAGTGTCTGATGTTCTTCTGGCGCTAGATGTATGCCTAGAGCCAGAGCACCAGTTGTAGCACTCAAAATAGTTATTGTAGCGGTACTTAAGAACACTTGCTATTTTTTAATGCGTTGCTTTCCTTTCTGCTTTGGTTATAACTTTTTAAACAATTTGCTCTTTTGATCAGTGGAACTATTGTTTGTAGTATGTGCTAGTATAGTAACAATAGGAGAAAACCTAAAATTGAGAAAGAAAAAGGAAAGAATTGGATAATGAATGATAATTAACAGCAATTAACGAGATACAGTTGAGAGAATCAGTTAATAGAAAAAAAAACAAAAAAAAAAAAAAAAAAAATAATAATAATAATAATAAGAGAGAATAATAACAACCCTAACGCAAAATGGCAGCGGATCAAAATAATAAAAATAATATAATAATAATAATAATAATAATTTTAACACAATTGACGCAACAATGTTGCCTGCAATTACTAACGAATTGGCAATAATGTTAAACAATTGCTGTGATAAACATTTTTGTGGCCTGCGGCGTGTTACTTGTACAGTTTCATTGCGACAAGTCACGCTTCGTAAATTTTGATAAATGCTTCTAGATGGTACGCTATCTCAAAAAATGAATATACTCTACGCGTTATTCAATACGTAAGTGGAGAAACATTCAAACAAATCTAAATTTTGTTAGTACTCAGATTCCGAATCGGTGCACATATTCAAGATATTAAACAATTGGACAGACGAATAGAGAGACATATTTAAATACATTTTCAACTGATCAACTAATCAACTGATCAACAATGATATTTTCAAAGTTGGCTTGTTGGGTTGTTCACAAAATTGTGATATACTAGTAACATTAGGCAGCCGTGGCCGATTCTTTCAACTCTTGCACATGGAGTATATATTCAAATTTTTATAAGTTCTAGTTTGAATTTCTAGCGCTAAATTTTTTTCCCTTCGGAAAACGAAAGGATGTGTTCTCAGTTCACGCTTTACCGTTTGCGTATGCTTTGATCAATTTGTTGCATTTTCAATAGAAAAATATTCGTGCCAGACTTTCCAATTTTTCTGCTAAAGTTAAAGTTCATAGCTATAATTGTGCGGCCAGGAGAATGTTTACAACGGACGGACGGACAGACAGACATGTGATGCTGATCAAACAATATAATATATATATGTTGTGGAATCTCTGAAGCTTCCTATTGAGCGCCGCAAGCCTTTTGACAAAACCAATATACCCCTCATCCTTGGATGATAGATCTAACAACAACAATAGCTCACTAAATTTATCTAACCAATAAATGAAATGAATGTGTTAAATGCTTTATAAAGTTTCCTTTGCATCGAATTGCTCACAGGAGACGATGACCTTGCTCGATCAAGGCAAATTAAATAACAAAAGGCTTTCATTCCTTGCAAATTTCATTGAACCGTTTTTAACAAATCAACCAAAGTAAAAAGATGAACTATGCTCTACTCGAAGATTCAGCGAGAGCTAATGCAGTGTTTGTTAATTAAAAGAATTAAAAATTAAAAAAGATAAATAATTATTTTCGCCAAATATAAAAAAAAAAAAATATGACAACACCAGAACCACTCTTGTGAATGCTTTGCGGCCAACGCGTAGTGCAACTTGTGCACATTTGAATATAAATTATAATCTACTTGCCTATGTCAACTGAAACACTTAGGGATTGACGATTTAAATTTATCTGAAATTTCCAATAAAAAAATTTCTCTCAATTAATAAGAATTTTCTTTCACATATTCAAAGCGTATTAAATAAGCGTATTAAGCATATTAAATCAATAAAAATATACATATATATTTTTTCTAATATTTACAGTCGCCTCCCCGCTCCCATTATTCCGTTTAATCTGACGTATCGTTACATTTAGCGAAAGTTTCCAACTTAATCCCTTAGGATTCGTGTGCGAGAACGTTGATATGAATTAAACTGAAGTCTACGGGCTATGACTCTCAAAATAAATGTTATATCTATGCTGACATTAAGGTTTACAATAGCAACAAAGAACGACAACAACAGTTAGCTCAATACGTATATTTTACTACTACTATTAACGATCGTGCGGCCTAGACTGTCACCGTCACTTCATGTGAGATTTCTTAACAAATAATACTGCGTTTATTGCTCCAAATATTTCTATTTCACGTTGCCTTGCTTGCCTCTCTCTGCCTGACTGATGGTCGCCAATACTTTTATATCTCACATCTCCCATCTCACATCTCTCGTCTCTTTTATATGGCATACAGTTGCCGTTCCTTCTCTACGAATATATACGCACATATAAACACACTAACATATTCATACACATTTGACGTATGTTTTTGCATTGCCTTTTGCTTTTGTTGTTCTCGCTTATATGCCCAGAAAAAAAAAAAAAAAAAAATGGTTTTTTGTGAATTTTTCTCTATTTTTCTTGTTTGTCTGCTATCTAGTCTAGACAGACTTTGTTATGTGTTTATATTAAATTTTGTTCAAGAAGACTATATGTATATATATATAAGAAGAATATATATATATATATATATATATATGTATATATATATAATCTTATCTTTTTTTGAAAACAATCTCCGGAAGATATTCTCTTTCTTTTTTATGGACTTTTGCATATCGGTCTCTTTGTAGGCGGTATTCTCGAGATTGCAAGAATTGAGCAACAAATCGAAAAGCGTAAAAATAGCAATTGCTGAACTTCTCAGATCAAGTCTAACAAGTAAAAATGTTAACCCTCTTACCAAAAATTAAAAAAAAAAAAAACGAAATTTTTTTAAAATCAATGTCATTTGAAATTAGTTCATGCATTCGCACATACATGCGCACACTAATGCGTCCATACAAAAAGTAAATGCCCGTTAATCCGTAATTTTTGTTCAAAATTAATAAAAAGAGAAAGAGAGAGGTTTTTGCGAAATTATTCGACTCCTTTAAGTTTGCGATAAATTGCGACCGCATTACTGAAACTTTATCGAAGGTCATGGAGTTTAATTAAAAACTTCTATCGTCTTTTTCTTTTTCTTCTTTTTTTATTGATTTTTGATAATTTTAATATCAATTTTAGTTTAGCCTTAAATGTTTTATATCTTCTCAGGTGAACGAAAGGTTGAAATGTCTACGTTTTTACTTCAATAATCTCTTCTTACTTTCTATGGCTTGATAAAAGAAAGAGAAAAAGAAAAAGAAAAAAAACTGAATTATCTCATAAATATACCAAAATTCTGTTTAAAAATTTTTCTTGATCAGCAGAATAATCTTAACAAACGTAACTGCTTCTTGTAGTGGAGCAATGATAATGATTTCAGATCCGTCTCCGAAGGGCCTGGATGGTTATTCATGTAAACGGTTTTTTGAATTGTGCCACGGACAAAAAGTCTATGTATGTATATATAGATATTTATGCTATAAAGCATATATTAGCATGAAATTTTGAATTGATTAACCTATGTCTGTCCGTCGACAGACATGTCGACTTCAAATTTAGTAGAAACATTGAAAGTTTCTGTAAGCAGTTTGCTATTGGAAATGGAGCAGATTGGTCACAACACAAGCCCGCAGTGGGACGTAAACTGAACGCAACTACCTTTGCTTAAATAAAAATTTGTGTTTTTTTGCTCATTATTTATAAATTATAAAAAATAGAAGGCTCAAATTGTATATATATATAGTTTATGGAAAATTCTACCATTTATATGCAATAACGGATAAAATCGGCCATGTCCACACAAAGTTACAAGTAATTAAATTTTCTTTCTTCTTCAGTTTTTTAATATCTTATGCTTATTCATCATAAGTCAAACAAGACCGAATGTTTAAAACTACTTTGTACATTTCTCGAATGATGACATATTATCTGCGTGAAAACTACGACGTCGGGTCGCGTCGTGGAGGGTGTCACGACGTAGTGAATTAATTTTTTGGTTATAATACCGTTGATATGGGTGGGTGTCAGAAGGACAGACTTGGAGAGCAGAATGCGGGAAACTAAGTGTTTTAATTCTAAATTAGTTATGATAGGCCTCACGATATGATGGAAAAATTTTTGCTTAACAATACCTTTTAGCGAAATAAAAGGTGACAGATAAATTTTATTTCATTCAATAAATAAAAACGAGATTCGTCGTCAGTCGAATGAATATCACTTCCTTACTTTGTTTTTCTTTTCCGTTACAATTTCAATGCTCGCGTGGTTGCGTAGTACAATTCATCGTGATTAAAAATTTTAGCTGTCCGTTCGGAGGACAACGATCGTCCAAGTCTTTTTTCCAAACACTCAAACTTGGCTTCGTATAAAGCAATTTGTGTCAACCGATGTCAAAAAAGAAAATGGGAAGAAAAAATTGTATGGAATTTTCGAAAGGACATTGCATTGATTCAGATGAATCATGTCTTCAAAGAGCATACACGTAAATCTTTATAATTTATTAAAAAGCTTATCCTTTTCGCAATTTCTGATAGCTAGATCTCACATTACTTGCGGTGCGAGGTATATTAAGTTTATGCGGGCGTATGTCACATTTAAAACGGCTTAAGATCGACCCACCGATTCATTTTCTGAAGCGATTCAACCTTGTCTGTCCGTCGATCCATGTATTTTTGTATTCAACTTCAAATTAAAATGAAAAAAAAAAATTAAAATTAACTTTTATACTGCTTTGCCCATTTGAAAAATCCTGTTTCCAAAAAAAAAAAACTCGTTTAAACGCTTTATATGTATGTATTGTGTAAACAGGTTTTTTTATTACAATAAATTTTTCGATTATTTGCCTCCATCCATCTGCAGCTACAGTATCATAAAAATAAGGGAGAAAAGATCCATAACACGTATAAATCAATGTATCCGAGTTCATCAATCAATGTTAGAGACACTCATCCCATACTTTTAAGTTCGCCCCCAATCTCGCATTTATTCAAAGGTCGTCTGAATAAAGCCACACCCACATATGTTCGCATTTAAATAAACAAAGAAATTTGTTAGTGCTCTAGAGAAGCTATCAAATCAGGAGGTAACACATAAAACCTCCCAGCAAGTCTTTATAGTACGTAGCTAAACTCCTGCGTGACGGGCCGACATTTCAAGAAAAACAATTCTTTTTTTTTGTGCAATGAATGTTTTTATCGAGCCGATGCTAGTCTTTTTTGCTAATGCTCATCCTACTTTTTTAGTCCTACAATTTAAAGCTTTAGTCGAGAGA